GTGAGTGAGTGAGTGACGTGACATGTGGCCAAGTATGGTGACCCATACTTGATCATTTTTCGCATATACATCTTTTTATAGCTCCTAGAATGAGCAAATCAGCTGTGCATCATCTCTGAGATTTGGGAAGGAAATGACTGAATATGTTGAGTACTGACACCTGCACCTGTATTCACCAACACCATTTCTCTAGAGTTAATGTTGACTTATTGTTTTGATTGAGTGAGTGAGTGAGTGAGTGAGTGAGTGACGTGACATGTGGCCAAGGCTCAAGGGCACCTCAGTCGTGGTATTGAAGGTGGGAGAGAGTGCTGTACATTCACTCCCCCTACCTACAATCCCTGCCGGTATGAGACTCGAACCCGCAACCTTTGGGTTACGAGTCCGACTCTCTAACCATTAGGCCACAACTTCCCCCTTTTGTCTGTTTGTTTGAAGCCAGTTGATGAAGATATCAATTCAATGGCCACCAAGTGCTGCACTGCTGCCTGAACCCATCAGTTATCTGCTGTGAAGACTGCATTCACAAACAACTCTACTGCGACAGCTCAGATGTTACAGCCCATAAAAGTAAACTTCAGAACTGAACAACTGCAAGATAGTTGTGGAGGGATTCTTTTGGCCCATACCGCCAACAACCTCCAACAAGAATCATTGGTAAGTCCAGAGCAACAATTAGAAATAAAAATACCATATATTGTTTACTGATTTACCACACCCTAAATACGTTTTGTCCCGCCAGGACATCTACACCAGCTGATGTGTGAGGAGGACCATCAGAGACTCCAGCCACCCGAGCCATGGACTGCTCTCACCGTTACCATCAGGCAGATGTTATCGCAGAACCTGCACCAGCAGACAGCGAGACAAGTTCTTTCCACAGGCAATCAGACTGAACTGAACTCGTACCTGTAACACCACACGCACCCCACCAGCCTCATATGCACTGCACTCTTATCAGTTACGCTGACTGGACTTACTATTATTCTGCACCCTGACATTCTATTTGCACTAATTCATACCGTGCTGCACTGCAAAGGTATATGTGTACTGTGATTATTATTGTTTTCATTTCATGCACTCTGTATAGCATAACATTTACCATATATTGTTCTCTACCTGTATTGAGTCCCTTATACAGTATATGTGTGTTGCATATATATTCAGTATTTGTATTTCATATATATTTATTCATTAATTTGTCATCCATACTGTCATGCTGCAGTTTGCACCCAAGACTTTCACCACCTGTACACTTGCGTTCATGGTATTGTGACAATAAAGTGATTTGATTTGAATTGGTTACATGTCTTTTGTTCGTCAGTTGCACTGTAGGGTGCTGCATAACAACTGCTAATTTTTTATGACATGGAAGAAGATTATGATAGAGACATGGACAAGCAAGAAGAGGAAGAAAACCAGGAGAGCTCTGATGATGAGAAGGAAACTGGATGTGATTCTTTGGTGCTCAAGACATTTCACCATGCATGCATTTGGATGGCTTCCAGTAAAGTATTGCACATGGTGTCACATAATAAAGTATGGTGAATATTCTGTATTAGGGATTTTTATATATATTTTTAGATATTTAATTGTGTAAACAATACACATAATTCCCATGAGTGTTTTAATTAAGACATGAACATTTGGTCATATTAATGACATTCAGTTAGATGAGGGCTGAAAGCTGCATTAGAAGAGACTGCATGGACTATATTGCTGCAGGCACTTCATGCACAACTGAGGGTGATGCACCAGGGAAAGATCAACATGAATCCTGTACTGTACTATTAGCAAGATGAGCATGCACATTACTGATGTTTAGCACCTGAGGAGGACAAAGATGAGGAATATTTGACACAGAGACACAAATTAGGTCTTTTATATTATGATTCTTTGCCTTGCATGAATTGTATGGCTTTTGCACCATAAACCACACACTGTCTGTACCTTGTCTTACTGAATGACACATTGACATTGTGTGATAGTATAATGAAGTGTCAGTATGTACTGGTTGTTTAAATTGGTGTGTTTGTTTACTGTCAACACTGTATTCTTGCTCCTGATCTAATTAAATAAATGGTACCCAGCAATTTCATTTTTTCATTCTTATTCTAAGATAACCATGACTTGCAACTTACATATTGGCAAGTTGTTGAAAAGACAATCTTAAAAATGTGACTCGGCACAGTTTGTTGTCCATGATGAGAATAGATCTGTGTATGTTTTACTGCCCTTCCATCCCCAGGGGCCCAGTAGAGTCCCCTGGAAGAACACAAAAATGTAACATTTCAAATGGCTGTAAATCAAAGTCTGATTATAGTTTTAAAGAGAAAATTGGCAGGACAACTACTTATGCTATGTTAATTAAATAAAGTTGGACAGAGTTTTCAAACATATGGAAAGGTGGTATAAAGGTGTTTAAAAAAGTGCTCTTAGTAAAATACCAAATTTCAGCCTGCCTCTTAAATATGTCATAAATGTTTGCACAATGAACATGTTTAGATGACCCCTTGTTCAAAAAAGATTGTATTTTCCCTAAATGTATTATTAAACATTTTAAACTACATTACCCATACGCCTCTGCCATTCTATCGCTAGAACGCGAAAAAAAGTGGCGCTGGTATTTGTAGTTTAATGAAGTTATGCTTAGGGTTAGGGTTACGATCTCGGTAAAGAGGTAATTTCTCACGACATAGCCACACTGCATTGTTAACTGAAGGTATTACTGACGTAATAATAACAGCAAAACGGACTTTGCAACATTAAGCG